AAAAAACTGGTTTCAAGTGTGTAAGGATTCATGTGACTGTTTCCACCAGCACACTTCTAAGATACTGAATTTTACATTCTTGAGTTTGTGATGAATTCAAACACAAATACATATCTGTGCACAGAAACATGTGGATGGCGCAGGGACCGTATCTTTGCAAGCTGAAGTGCAACTGTCTGAAAACTCTCCTTCTGTCCTAAAAATTCAAAATGCAACCAAGTCCAGCGTGGGGCTTGCCAACGCTTTAAATGTGTATGTGGGCACAGGTAGTTTTTATACACGTGTCTGTGTGTGTGACTTTTGACTTATCTCTAAGCTTAATGAATGTGTTTCCTGTGTCTAAGCAATGTGGAAGCCTTTAAAACTGTTGGGGTCACCAGGGAAATGTTGAGAGCGGGAATCACACTGTCTGCATACAACATATCCAAAAGCATACAAGCTAGCTCAGTGCAAAATGGCATATCTTTGAAAGCGACGTGAAATGTTAACCAAAATGCTTAGGATTGTATTAAGCCATGCAAAACAAGCAATAAATTTACAATTAACCACATTTAACCCTTTCACTTCAAAGCACAAAATGAGCATCAACACTGAAGGCTCAATAAGCTCAGTGAACATGGGAGAGAATAACACTGAAGCCACTGAGGTAAGTCAAATTGGTTGGAATTAACAAGGGTACTATGGGTTGTAATAATACATTTACAGGCTGATGATTATGCTGTGGGGAGGAAGGGAAGGGGATTAAATTCCTGTTTAGTTTAGGCTGCATTTTAGTGCAGCCTGTTCTTCAGTAGTACACAGTTAAAAATGTAGTCTGTCAAATCCCACTGACATATTTTGGCAATAGATATATCCTCTAATTGAAAGCAATTGTTGTGTTGTAAGCTTTCCCCTTTTCCCATTTGTTTTGGTTAATGAGTAGTGGTGGCCTGTCTACTTAAACACGTATTGAGCAACTGCTCACGGGGAAGTTAGCATATTGCAGAGCATGCAGCACGATCCTGCCTGACTTCATAAGGAAAACTTCCTGCAGGCTTTGGTGGAGAATGTTTGAACAAAGCTGGTAGGATCAGCCTTGCTGGTTGTTGCTGCCGGGCTTTGCTGTATGGGTCAGCTGGGGCCTCCATGTGTGAACCCTGGCGTAGGAGTCAGTCTCCCTCCCAGGGCAGCAGAGCTTTGTTTTGAGCAATCAGCATTGGCCTCTGCTGGGATTCCCATGAAGGGATGCTCTGCCTTATGTTGAATTTGTTTCCTTTGCTGGGAGCCAAGTCCTGCCCCCTCCGTGGCTGGCAGTGCTCAGGACACGCAGGCCCGGCGCGGGTGGGGCCTGGAGGGCCCCGTTGGGCCATAATCTGTGAGCAGGGCCCTGCAGCTCTGGGGGCTCAACAAGCCCCTGCTGGGCCAGCCCGGGCAAAACGCTGTGAACACCATTGCTACTCACAGAAACCCTCTAAGGCGGTGCCAGCTGGAGCCAGGGCCCTACTCTGCCATGCCCACCCGCACCCCTGCCTGCCTGTGACGCCTGTGTTCACAAGAGACACGCGTGGAGCAGAGACTGCCAGTGTAACCGGGGTGCAAGGGACCTGGCCACCACCTCAGCACAGGCTGAGCTGCCCATGGATCAGAACTGGAGCTGCATTTGAACTCATGAGCCACATCTCCAGCCCTGACCAATGTGAATGGGATAAGTGAGTGCTGAGTCCTGCCTGAGCCTCTAAGGAAAGTAAAAGCAACAGGCCACCAAGGAGGTCTGGGGAAAACTGGGAAACCTGCTACTCTTGCATCCAATGAGGGTCCAAGTGGTGAAAGATCTTCTGTCCACCCACAGGGCTCAGGTCAAACCCAGCACAGGCTACCAAAGACACATCTTTATTGCCTTGTGATAAACCTCCCAGTCCAGAAAGTCCTGGCACTATTGTGTGTGTGAACTTTCACCATCACCAAATCTGTCATTAACCCAGAAAGAAACCTTTTTGTGCTCACAACCTCTGTCTGCACAGCTCCTCTCAGGAGGCAAATCCCTCATGGTGAACACGTCAGCTGGCTGCATGCTGCAGACAAGGTTATGACTGCATTACACATTCTGAGGAGAGCAAGGCTCTATATTACACTGGGAAAGGCTCATCTTTGAAAACAAAGAGGCTCAAGGAAGAAAAGGCTGGTTTTACTCAGAAAGTGGCTGAGGTGCCCATAAATCCCTCTCAGCCTTCAGCGGCAGGGCTGGAGGCCAGCAGCACGGTGGCAGCAGAGATGCTGTGCCCCTGCAGCTCCTGTCACAGCCGTCTGCAGTGGAGCCTGGCACCGCACCGGAGCCTGTGTTTGGGTTAAAGGACCCTGGGGAAGTGACCTTGCCTTGGTCTTTCTGCCAAGCACCTAACAGACTCCCAGCGTGCTAAATCATTGGTAAAAACAGGAATGACACTCTGGCCTCATCCATGAGCAGTTCCTGCAATGCAGATTAGTAACAATAAAATGGGGTCTCAGTCCACGCTTATCCAAAAATACACTGAGGATTGCTAATCAGTCTATTTCCAAGCCCACTGTTATTTCTGAGTGCCCTGAAGTGCCTGAGTGGGCACTGGCTGATGTCTGCAGCCTGATGATTCAGGAGACTAACAACTGAGAACATCAGGGCAGGGTAACAGGCATGGCTGGAGAGAATCTGGGAATTGTGGCGATCAGGGAACAGCTCTAACTCAGGCAACGCTTTTTCTGTGTCCAAGTGCTTCTTGGCTCCTCCTCATCTCGCCTTGTGTTTCCCTGGTGAATGGCTCTTTGTTCAGAAATGCTGCTCTGGGGACGGCCTTGCTCTGGCCATCTCTGGGCTGGGACAGTGGAGACCAAGGGGACCACTCCACTTTCTCCTACCTGTTACCTTCTTCTGTAGGATAACCACTCATGGCCTCTGGCAGGATGCGGAGAAGACAAGGACTGGACCCTTGCTCTGATGCAATTTCCATCAGTACAGGTTTCTGAGATGGAAAGCAAGTGAATGAAGAGATTCAAAAATTGTCTGTAAGTGTTTGTGAATTCACCTTGTGGTAGACTGCCAACCTGCTCTGCAATCACAGAGACCCAAATTGCAGCCAGGGGCAGGGAGTAAAGGAAATGAGAAAAGGGGGGCTGGCTGTGTGAGTCAGAGCACCTCCTGATGCACTGCACTGCCGGGGCTCTCCCGCAGCAGCCCTGGGGTGGCAGCTCCTGTGCCAGGGTCCCTGTAGCCTTCTGCGGCGGCTG